GCTGCTGATTGGTATAGGGTTGCTTTTTACGGGGATAAAATGTTCTGCAATTAGATAGTGGTGATGGTTGCTCATGTTTGTGAATATACTAAAACCACTGAGCTGTATACTTTAAAAGGGTGAGTGTTATGGCATGTGAATTCTATCTTAGTAAAATAATTATATGAGAAAAAGGTATATGGTATCAAGTTTGACATACAATAGTTAGATGTTGTTACTCTTATTGCTGAGACCTAGTCCTAGGAACTCTCAGCCCAGGTAAACTCAGACTTGTGAAATCAATAACCAGGATTCCATGTGGTTAGTTCTATTTGGAGCCCCAAAGGGGAAAAGCTAATCCTACTTGGTAAGCTGGAAAGAACTTCACAAGAGAAGGTCTTTCAAAATTGTCATAACCACAAGTATCATCTCCCCCTTCCCCCCTCCTCCATCACCACCACCAGCACCAGCACCACAATCACCACCACCGCCACCACAGTCTACATTTGTTGAGCACTTACTATGTGCCAGACACTGGTTTAAGTGCTTTATGTGTTTTCACTCTTAATCCTCACAACAAATCTAAGAGGAACAATTGTTATCCCCATTTCACAGATAGAAAAACTGAGGCATAAAGCAACTAACTATTGGGCCCATGGTGCCATAGATTGAAAGGCACAGAGCCAGGATTCAAACCCAGGTGGTCTCACTCCACAGCCTGCCATGCTGTACTGATTCTGGTTTGCCAGGATTAAAAAGAAGGAAGAACATTTCAGCAGACGGGTGGCCCATTCAAAGGGGAAGGAAGAGAAGTTCTAGGTGGATGGAGAGAAGGATACTTTGGGGGAAGGGAGGGAAAGGAGAGTTTGTCTGGAGCCAGATGCTGAAGGTCTTAAATGACAGGCATAGGGGTATGGCCTTGGTCCTATAGGTGCTGGGGCCATGGTGGACAGAGGTGACAAATAGGGTTCTGTGCAAGTCCCATGCTAGGTCTTAATGGACACTGTGATGTTGAACAAGACTTCCCCAAGGAAGCTACAGCCATTTTGGAGAGAAGGGAATACACACAATGACCTAGCTAGTTATACGGGGCAAAAGCTCTTTATTCAAACAAAATCTTATCAGGAGCACCAATACTGTTAAAAACAAACCAAACCAAACCAAACCAAACCAAAAAACAACAACGACAGCAGCAGAATAGGGCAGCATTCTGGCAGAGAATCAGAATCAGAATCAGAGACAACCCTACATAGCACCCTGCCTACTCCCAAGCTGCCCCTGAGGCAATTTCCCAAGGTAAGAGTTCACCTGGGGGTGTCTAAATAACTAAGGACACGCCAGCAAGGCAAGAGGGAAGGAGATCTGCACCCACTCCTCTCTGCTTGACATTTCAGAGGCATCCAGAAACTTCTCTCCTGCCCGGGATCAAAACTTATCTTACAAAAAAGCATTCCCCTTCCCCTAGCAAATACCCCCATCATCCAGTTATTACTCATCTGGGGCCTGCAGGGTCCCAAAGGGAAAGTGCAAACAAGCATATCAAAGTTCCCACACCACAATCAGTGTGGCTTACTGGCTGGAACCTTCCAGAGAGTTTGTGGAAACCCCATCAGGGGAAATGAAGTCACTGCTGAGATACGACTCACTCCACAGACGCCAGGAGCGGGTGGGCAGATCCCTTGGCTTCCTTTCTGGTAGGAGCTGACTGGCAAGAACCAACTCCCCCAAGTCCAACTCCACTCCTTATCTCACACCCCAAACAGCTCCTCCAGCTCGGCTCGGACATAGCCAGACCATGACAGACTTCTCAAAGCAAGACTCCAAACCCCAACGCTTGTGAGATTGGCTTTGGGGTTAGGTTTGAATTCGCTGCATTTCTTTGCAGTTAGTGCATCTTTTCCTGTTTGCCGAGCTCTGTCATTCCAGGACCAGAGATAGAGAGGGGGTGGGAGGATGTGGGGTGAGGAAGGGCAGGAAGAGAAGGAGGGGAGCCCTCCTGCTTCCTTCCATCCAGCAGCCTGACCTAGTACTGCTCCCAGGACAAGGCAGGACATCCATTCCGCCAGCTGGGGGGCTGCTGTGCATTTTTCGTGCAAACAGTAGCTGCTGTACTCTTCTTGACGTCACCCTCCTCTGCTAGACCTGAAATCTCATCGATGAAAGCTCTGTTTTCCCACCACCCTGGGCCCCAGCATATACTTCAGGCCTGAAATTTCAGAGACGCCACTCATACCATATCTTAAAGTCAAAGTAAATACCAATGGGCCTAATTATATAAAGGGAGAAAATTTGGTACAGATGTTATCAAGGCAGGAGAGGCGGCTTGTGGCAGGGGCCAAGCCAGTTCCTCTTGGAACATGCTTGTTATGATTAACATGGGAACTCGGAGTTCTGATGAGAGGCCAAATACCGCGGCTGCTACACGCCTGGGCAGAGGAGCAGGAGAGAGGAGGGCATCCCTGGGGTGCCCACAGTGGATGCTCTGGATGTTGGGCATGGTGCAAACACCACGGATGCAAAGGTTGTGATAACTTGAACTCCAAGGAGCTGTCTACCTTTCCCAGGCCCAGCCAGGCTAACACTGCTGAGGATTACTGCCAGGAAAGAAAACTTTCCACTATAACTCGACCCCATGGCCTTTTTCCTTGAGGCCCCAATTAGGTTGTGTATTTCTCACACACTCTGTCCTTAGTGCTACCCCAAAAGTGAGCTACCCATGTTATAATTATCTGTACCTGACTCACCGGTCCGTGTGAGTGTCCCCTGAATGCTCAGAGCCCAGCACAGGGCCTGGCACACAGGAGCCTCAATAAACAGTTGACGGATGAATGACCTTCCCCCATCCTCGCCACCCACCCAGCTCTGACTCTCTGTCCCTAACCTGGATGCTCAGTTC